GAACACCTGGAGAAGCACAAACATATTGCGATTCTGGGACACGTCTTTGATGTCAGTTCCAATCAGCGGATCTATGGTCCAAATGGAATCTACGCCCCATTTACGGGTATGCATTGGTGTCTGACCCTCATTTGACAATCCTCTGTGTTCAGGTCTGGAAAAATCTTATTATCGGCCTATAGGCCACCTAGAAAACTGGTAGCTTCATAACAAGTTGTGGGATATTTCTCTCAAATACTTCTTCTTAATTTCAAAAGTCATTTTAACCATTCTCTAGGTTGGCGCTAGACTTACCCTCTTAGAGCTAGCAAATTCGGCATTCTAATCGCTTTTCGCAATATTATCTCAATCATAAATCGCTCGTAATAACACAAAGTGGCATGGTTTCTGGAGGTTTTCAATGTTCTTTCCTGTTCTTCATCTTGCTGTGATTTAAATCCCCTTTAATTACTTCACCTATTCTTTAATTATGTGGATTAATCTCTCGTTTAATTCGATCACCCAAAGCAGAGGTACCTGCTACACTGCCACCACCTGACTTCATTCTGAAGACATTTTTGGACAAATCGGTGTAATTTTGATGTAGCATTGTTAAAAGGCTATGTGGTATGAGCATTTCCCTGTTTCACTGACTTGGTGAAAGGATTGCACCAAACTAGAGGTATTTGCTATTTACCCTCCCCTTCATCCACTAACCATAGGTCGTGACGCAACTCGAATGCTCGTCTCGGAGGGTATGAAAGACTCTGGCTTAGAGGCCTACGCTCTGGACGGCCTTACATCTGCCCAGCTCTATGAATTGGGCGATTGGCTGAAACTGTACACCAGAAAATATCCTTGTGTGGGATACATTCCCAGCGTCTACCGCTCACCTATGGGGGATGCTTCTAATCTCCTTATCGAACTTCTCAACACCTGGAACAAACAATCTCCCAAGAGTTTGGACTTTTTAGAACTTCTTCCACCTTGTAATTCGTTTTTCGACGGGAAACTACTTCGACTGACTTGTAATCCCTACACCAGGTAAGTCAACCTGGCGACAAGTTCAAGGATTGCATTTGCCCATTACACCTGAGCAATCCATTGCTACTTCTTCTCAGTGACACCTCGGAAGAATTGTACCCACGTCAACTGTTAGAACCAGAGAAGGCGAGATTGCGATGTGCTTGCGTCCCCACGTCGTACCTAACTCATCCTCGTCTACGGCTCTATCCTGACTGTCCTGGTATTGCCGACCACTGCCTCATAAAGATTGACGATCCTGAAAGTGTCTGGACCAGTAGACTAGCCTCTATTGAAGTTATCTAATCGTGTCCTCAATGTTAATTCCCATTTATTCCAAAGTCATTTTTTGTGTTGCCTTTTCACTTGCCTCATCTTTTATCCCTCTGAAGGGCAGCACAGATATGTGCTTACTTGGTGATTGTGTGTTGTATGTTAGATTGGGAGAGCTAGACCACTGCTACCAACTTTAAAACAGCAAAACTCTTCTTCATGCATTCATGTTCTAACCTGACGTGTGATCGTTGTCAACCTACCAATCTTTCCGATGGCTTTGTTAGGCTTGACATCACGGGTTCATCACGTCAACTTGTCGCACTGTTGTACATTTCCTAATTTTATCAGAAAAGGAAGTCTTAG